CATGCTAGAGAAGACATGGTGTGAGAGACAGACAGACAACACAGGATGCTGGAGAACTCACTTGATTCTAGGCAGGGGGGCACTGTCACATTCAATGACCTGTTATATCTAGAAACCAGCCCCTTTCTTCCCTTCCAAATTGTCAGCTTGGTGGGTTATTTATTTGGGTCTGCTGAGTCAAACCAGTCCATTTCCAACATGTGATGGTGAACCGTCCTCCTGAAGCCAAGCTGTGCTCTGTTAGCTCGCTGCTAAAACCAGGAGAATAAATAGATGTTTGTACTCAGCATATTAAAGGGAATAGAGCCTGCTTTTTGACAATGTTGAGTCAATATAACCCAAGTATGTGCATGAGTAACTCATGTTCCCTCTATAGAGCACCTGTTCCTGGGTAAATATATTAAAACATTTTTGAGTTCTTAACTTCTTACACACACACCCCTTCTGCCCCCCCACACTCTCCCCACTCCCACCCCATGTCTAAAAAGCTGTTATAGTTAAACCTGCATAAGCGTCATACAGGAAAGGATTCTGGCAGGGGGCAATTGTCCATAGTGGGAGGCATAGGCTGTTTGTTGTTGTGTTTTTCAGACCTTCCTTCCTTTCAGAACAAAGAAGAATAGTAAGAGCTGCATATTGGAGATTAAAACTCCTCTATTAATAGCATTATCCGAACATATTCTCTAGGGATTCTAATTCCACTAATAATAATGGGCGGGGGTGGGAGAGGGTGAAGCATTTCTGGAAAAAAATCATCCTCAAAGCAGTTTATCAGAGGATTGTTTCCTGACAACAACAAAAATGAAATATTTACCAGGTAATCCTGCAAGACCGCCAATATTTTGGCTCAAACTGTATCAGTGTAGCTAAGTGGTTAGAACAGTAAACTGGGAGTCAGGATGCCTGGGTTCTATTCCTGACAAGGCCAGGGACTGTGTACCTTTGGGCAAGTCACTTATTTACTTTGGCCTAAATTTTCAAACATTACTAGTTATTTCGGGTGCCTCAAGTTTTGGGTGTCCAATATGAGGTGCTTTAAAAGGGTGATCTCACTTGGAAGGAGACCAGATACTGTGGTGATGAGTGGTGCTATAAAACCCTAAAATAGATAGATTATGGGGCTGGGTGCCCAAAAACGGAGGCATTTAAGTAACTTGTCACTTTTGAAAATGTAGACCTCTATGCTTCCTATTCTTCTTCTGTAAAATAGGGATAATGATACTTACCTGGCTCACACTTAAGGCTTAATTAACCAGCAGTTGTAAAGTCCTTGACGTCCTAGAATGGATGGTGCTAAATACAATGTGGTGGTATATTTAGAACATGAGTTTATTTCTGGGCAGTTAAACTCACAATAGTATTTAAAAATTGAAAATAAAAAACCCCAAACAATCTTGGAATCCCATATTTTAAAAAGAACTGATATCCCTAATGGATAGTTATGATTAGCAAGGACAATGAGTTAATGAGAAAGCATTGTATTTAATTCTATGCACATCTTCAGTGGACATGGCATGGCCATTGCAGTTATGTATTAATTAGTGCTCTGAAATGGGAGAAAGGGACATGAAAGGGGTGAAGGGAGCTGGCAGGTGTAGAAATGAGATTAGACAACAACAGAGGATGTTTCTATCCAGAATACGAGTCATCCAGAATCCCCATCAGCCTCAATGATATGTTTTGTATAAGTGAAAATAACTCAAGTAACATGAGAACAGCCCAGGCACAGGGATGGCTCGGGGGATTGAAAGTGGGACACAGAGCCTATCAGCATGAGCTTGCCGGGAGACTAGTGACCAATGTAGCCTGATTTAGGGTGTACTAATAATATTAATTTAATGTATCAATTTAATCTTATTTTAATTTAAATTAATTAATTAATGTTAATAATTATTAATAATTAATCAGTATGGGTTTTAGGCTCACCAATCTGTTTGATCATAAGATAAAAGTTCTTGTCCCGAATCAGGCTTCACAGAATTTACAAAGGATCCTCGGGGGTATGATAGGAAGCTCACACTGAGACAGATATAGTCTTAAAGACTTTTTATTAAAATCAATGAAATAGTAAGTAAATGGTAAAATAATCAGAGTTACAAAGTTACAATTGCATTAATGCTATTCAAAAGATACCTATGATAATATAGTATTATGTGCAACAAAGCTTTGGTTAATATACTTACACCCTTCCTCGACAACCTGGTGGTAAGAGACACAGGACCAGCCTCACAATTCAGGTTTCTTAATTCTTGAGTGTGAGATGCAGTGCTTAGAAGAAACTAATACTAAGAACTATCCAAATTAACTTAGGGTTTACTTGACTAACTTAAACTTAAAATCAAAACCTAATAAACAAACTAAGAATAAAAGCTTAGGGAACCCAAGCTTAGCCTGGTCCCCTTGGAACTTAAGGTTTGAAAGAACAAGTATAGCCTACTAATAGTGGTAGTCATAGTAGATAGATAGAATAAAATAAAATAAAATAAAATAGAAAGAGTGAGTGAAAGTAAGTTAGAATAAGTGAGAATATTCTAGCAAGGTGGGTCACCTCTTTTATAGGGCACAAGTGTCGGAAATCCTTCCTCCTATGCCTAAATTTCATTCCTCACCCACAAAATGTTAGGGTACACTTACCCCATAGGCTAGTATGTTTGTGCATATTGATGACATGTACATACGCACATACGTTTCCTTGTGGTGTACCTGTTAAATCTGTGGGTACAACATTGAAACCCCCCCATGCCATTCTCCATTGTCTATTGGTCTAGCTAAAGGGTCTTAGACATAGGCGTGGGTAATCTATTTAGGTAACAAGATGTAGGTCAATTTTGCTTTCTGGGTAAAAGGTCTTAATATAAATATGCTAACTTTGCCTTAGCTTAACATACAAGATATGACTTGTAGGTCTCTTGCATTACAGCCAAACTTACTTTAATATAAATCTATAAACCTATTACAATAAACCAAATACTTAAACTATAAGAAAAAAATATATATATATACACACAAACAAGCAGGTTAATCCTATAGGCTACACCAAACAGCAGACCTAACTGCCACCACGTGATCTATGCACGTGATATATGCATGGGAAGGCCTCTCCATGCACAGCTCACACCCTTCCCATTAGGTTGTGCTCAGGTCACGTTTTCAAGCTTTTCTTCAGAACCACGAGGGCTAGAAACTTTCTTTTTTATTGAAAGCTAAGATTCTCACACATTCACAGGACTCCGGGAACTGAGGTTTTAAGAAATACAGCAATTATTGTGACATTATAAAACTATTACAGTGAGTGACACTGCAGCCCTTCCTCTGGCCCCAGAGAGGGTGTTCAGCAAGTCTGTGGATCCACAATTGGGAGTGGGCAGACAAAGAGCAGGGCTTGGTGCTACCTCATTTCCCCACCAACCCAAGGAGAACAGAATGGGAAGACAACCCAGTCCCAGGACAATCTTATCCTCCTTCCCCTGATAGAACAATTAGGGAGAAATCTTGCTGAGTTTTCCTCCCCATTACTGTCCTCCTGTCAGTTTCCCTGAGGGAGAAAACAATTAGCCCATAGCTAGCAATTAGTGGTTATGTGAAATGAATTTGGTGTGGGTCTCAGTTTATCTCCCAAAGGACAGGTGCTCACATCACACACACAAACCCTCTCTGTATTGGCAATCTCAGCAGAAAGGCCAACAAATGAAGTGGCAGAGAGATTGAATGCCAGGGCATAGATTCAGCCAATATGGCATACAAATATCTGTTTCTCCAGAATCTGTTTTAATTTAAAAATTAAGTCAGTCTGTCTCTAGCTGGTATGGGTGCACAGTAAACTTTACAAATGTGCACTCAGAGTAACTGATGCAGAGACCTCTACCTGAATCTGCAGAAAGCCTGCAACACTAGTTCTACAAGGTATGAACCCTTCATCCCAGTGAGGGGTTTACTCAGATGCCTGGTGATGATAATTTGTGTCAAAATTGTTAACTATTTCATTCCACATGTAAGAGCTTGTCTCCATGGGAAAGTTTTACCAGTTATAGTGGTGTAAGTATATAGTTAAATGTAAACACTTAGTCCAGTATCAGAGTTGCTTTTTTTTTTTAGTTTCTCTTAAACCTGTCCCCAAGCAACATAATCTACATTCTAAAAAGGCACTTGTACACTGGCATATGTGTCCGCATGGGTGTTATGTTAGTTTCACTATATTGGTTTAACTTCACACCCTAGCTAATAGTGGCATAACTTTTCTGTGTAGAAAAGCCCTCTGAAGGAGAGGGAGGATCACTGACCTGCACAATTTATTGAGTGATGTCTCACTATGGTGCCCAACCCAAATAAACCAAGCACAAGGTGCCTAATGGAGCTCAAAGAACATGCTCAATGATAATTTGAACACCTGCACAATCTACTGGGAGCAGCAACTCACAGAAGAAGAGCTTATTTTGTGGGCGAAGGTGGAAGAGCACCACCCCAATCTGATCCCTGCTGGGCTCTCATTCCTAGGTCCTCTTGGCTAGGATTCAGGAACATTATCGGAGCAGTGTCAGGGAATCCTGAACTGCTGCTGCCTGGGCTATACCTGCTCTGGGAATAAACAGAAGACTTCAGTCTCTGGGGATGTCAGCCTTTCTTGAGCACATTAAAAAAAAGAGCAGCCCAATGCAAACACATCTCCATTGGAATAGAGGGAACTAAAACAAGCAGAGCATGGCGCCAGTGACTGAAATACAGTGGGATTGGGAGAGATTCTCTCCCCCCCCCCTTACATACTTGGAATATTTGTCCACTTAATTTATTCCTGACCCCCAAACCCTAGACAGTCTGACCTCCTCTTCTTTGTTATCCTTTCTTGTACAACTCTCTTTATGGAGAGTGCAATACTTCAAGAGCAGTGAGAGTTAACCTATTCTGACTGCGGGGGGGGGGGGGGACACTGGATGGGAGGGGTTGGCTGAAATTAATGTTGTTTGGTTAGGGCTATTTTTACTTTTGTTTGCAGTCTTGCTTTCTGTCCGGAGGAGAAAAGTTCTTATCTCGCCTCTCCCCTTCAGTCCCAGTCCCATATTCTGATTAGAAACATGAAAAAACCACAAACACAAGAGTTATTTGTTAGAAGAGGAGCTGCTATCAAGGAACAAGGGCTGCCTCTTTGTGTGGTTGGCTGGTGCAAGGCTTGCCTTCCAGTTTTTGGAAAATATCTTTAACTTAATCACATTCACATGACAAACCCTAAATTAAAAAAAAGCAACCCATGAGTAATGCAGAAAGGAGAGAAGCGAAAGAGAGGAGAAGTCTGAGAGCAGCGGATCGCTTCACAGGCAGCGCGGAGCTGTCAGAGAGAGAGGGGAGGGTGCAGCCTTTGCAGAGCCGAGATCGGGAGCAGTTTAACCCCATCCGATCTCCGGGCTGGCGAGAAGAGAGAGAGAGAGGAAGGTCCAGTAACCAGGCAAGGGCTGCGGATTGCAACGAAAGCTCAGGACTTCCCTCCTGGCGTCACTCAGTGCTGAGGCGTGTTGGCTTCGCAGGAAGCAGGTTTTCCTCTTCTGGCTTTGCAAAGCCCCCTTTTCCGTGGAGCCTCATGCACTCTGCGGAGCAGCAGCCCAGGCGGCAGGATGGCTCCCCGGGAGAGAGGCGCTAAGGTGCTGGCCCCCCTCCTGCTACTGCTCGCCCTCCTCGGCCGCCCCAGCGCCGGCCTGGAGGTGCAGCACAAGTTCCTCTCGCCCACCTTGACCAACAACTTCGCCCTGGATGGGCTGGGCAGCAAGATCTACCTGGCGGCTGTCAACAGGCTCTACCAGCTCTCCGGCCCCAACCTGACGCTGGAGGTGGAGGAGCAGGTGGGCCCGGTGCTGGATAACCCCCTGTGCCACGCGCCCCAGCTGCCCCAGGCCTCCTGCGAGCACCTCAAGGTGGAGACCAACAACTACAACAAGATCCTGCAGCCGGACCCGGAGCAGGGCATCGTGGTGGTGTGCGGCTCCATCTACCAGGGCTTCTGCCAGCTGCGCAGCATGGCCAACATCTCCGCCGTGGCCGTGAGCTTCCCGCCGGGCGGTGCCGGCGGCGGCGGCGGCGGGGACCCGGTGACCGTCTTCCCCAGCATGCTCAACATCGCGGCCAACCACCCCAACGCCTCCACCGTGGGGCTGGTGCTGCGGCCCGCGGGGCCGGCGGGTGGGGGGAGGCCGGACACGCGGCTGCTGGTGGGGGCGACCTACACGGGCTTCGGCAGCCCCTTTTTCCCGCGCAACCAGAGCCTGGAGGACCACCGCTTCGAGAACACGCCCGAGATCGCCATCCGCGCCCTCAACGCCCGCGGCGACCTGGCCAAGCTCTTCACCTTCGACCTCAACCCCTCGGACGACAACATCTTCAAGATCAAGCAGGGGGCCAAGGCCCGCCACAAGCTCAGCTTCGTCCGGGCCTTCCTGCACCCGGCCCCCCCGCCGCGGGGCCCCGGCGGCGCCTCCTACGCCTACCTGGCCCTCAACAGCGAGGCCAACGCCGGCGACAAGGAGAGCCACTCGCACAGCCTGCTGGCCCGCATCTGCCTGGCCGAGCCCGGCCGCAACGCCAACGCCAGCGCCGGCGAGACCAAGAAGCTGACCGAGTCCTACATCCAGGTGGGGCTGCAGTGCGGGGCCGGGGGCGCCGACGGCTTCACCCGCCTGGTCTCCGTCTTCCCGGCCACCGCCGCCCTGCAGCTGGGACCCCCGGCGGCGCCCCAGCCCCAGGAGCTGCTCTTCGGGGTCTTCGAGAGAGCCGCCCCGCCGGGGGCCCGCCAGCACTCGGCGCTCTGCGCCTTCCGCTTCGCCGACATCGAGCGGAGTATCAGGCAGGCCAGGAACTCCTGCTTCGTGGAGCCGGACTCCGGGCTGGTGACCGTGCTGGACAGCGTGGTGCAGGGCACCGGGCCCGCCTGCGAGAAGAGGAACATCCAGGTAGGGGGCTGCGGCTCGGGATCGGGGCCCCCTCTCGGCTCAGGAGTGGGGATCCCTCCGGTAGGACGGAGGCCCCCCTGTAATGTTGCCGCTCATCAGTAGGGAACCCCCCTGCGAACGGAGAGGGGAACCTCCCCCCAGTGATGCTGCAGCTCAGGGGAGCTTTCAGGGTTGGGGGGGATCTCTGGTGGGATGGAGATGCCCCTCTAATGTTGTGGCTGGTAGGGCGGTGGGAATAGAGGGGGCCCAGGTAATAGAGGAGAGCAGAGTTCCAGCATTAGGGGAACCACTGAGAAAAGTTCCTAAGGTGCCCCAGATGATGCTGCAGCTCAGTTTTCTTGGACTGGGGGACACAACCTTCTGGAGCGAGAGAAACTGGAAGGTCCCCTTGCAGTGCTGCTGTGCAGGGAGGGAGCAGGTTTGCCCCTATGGAGAACCAGAGTGCAGAGTTGGGGAACCCCCACTGGGGAGAACCCCTAACCCTGATAAAGTGCAGCTCAGGGGGAGCAGATTTTGAAGTGGAGGGCACAGTAACCACCTGTTGGGGGAGAAATGTCAGGTAATCCGTGTGATACTGCACTTCGGTGGAACCAAAGAAGTAGATTTTACATTGGAGAAACCACCTGCTGGGAGAAACCTAGCTGTTTAGTAGGTGAGAGACTGCAAGGCAACCTAGAGCTCTGCAGGACAGGGCTCAGCACACCCCAGAAAGACTGTGTGGTGAGTCCCTTCTGGTATCAAGCACTACATGGACTGGAATGCTTGGCTGGGGCTGGACTCTCCATGGTCCCAATCTTGAAGTTCTTACTCAGGCAAAACTCCATTAAAGTCAATGTAAGGACTTTAGGATTGGGTCTCAAATTTGGATTAATAATAACCTTGGACCTTCATGACTAGCTGGGTAAGGGATAACAATCCATTAGGCTGAAGTCTGGAGGAGTTGAGAATCTAAGGATCATGGAAGTTAGAGGTGGAAAACATTTATTAGTTTGTCCCTCAGGATTGTTCCTGTCAGTCTATTCTCCAGTGCTTTGTCTAGTCCAGTTTTAAACATCTCAAGTGATATGGTTTTCACACCACTGTGTATCTGACAGAAGCCTCCTTGGCATAAATGCAAATTAGAGATGGGATTCAGTCAGAAGCTTGGATTTGAGAACCACTGGACTTTGGGATGGTGGTGGTTGGAATCAGAACCAAGAGCCAGATCTGAATGTTGTAACTAGTCTCTATGGGCGTGAGCGTGCACACTGTACCCCATCAAAATCAGTTACAAAGCTCCACGGACTTCAGTGGTGTAGCTCAGGCTCTGTTTCTTTAATGGTCTGTCCCAAACCCCAGGACCCGAAACCCCATCAGACTTTGGGTATGTGTGGTGGGTGAGGAGAGGATGTCAGCAGCCAAACCCAGATCTCTCTCCGAGGTTTGCAGTTGAATGAAGCCAAAATTCTGCCCAGGACTGACGTGGGTGTCAGAATTTGTATGTGTATTCTGCACTCCCAGAACCATAATCAAATCCATCTCATAGCCTTCTCTGATGAGTGATTCTGGTTTACTTATACTAGACAGTATTTAGGAGGTTGGGAGAAACATGCTGAGTACAGTAAGCTTTTTTTCACAAGGGTTTACATTCATGCAGTACCCATGTATAAATTTAGGTCCATTGTGAAAGTCAATTGGATTCCTACTTGGTTTACTAAGAAGTCAATCATGCAGTGGTTTTCACACACATATAACCGCCCCCTCTTCTATCAAGGAGCGTCTTTATTCCCACGTCCCCTGTTCCCAGTGAACCAGTGGTGACTCACAGACTTTATTTTTCTCTTTCCTTTCGGTTGTTGCTCTCTGTACAGACGCGGAGGGAAGGCAGCTCTAAGAATGTGTGTTCGGTTGTAACTGTTCTCTTCCCACGTCCCTCTGTGTATTCCTGCAGCAGGACAGTGCAGGATGTGTACAGTGCATGGAGAGGGGACACAGGCTGCATTGTTTCATTGCATTTGGGGTGGAAGTTTGCCATTGTCACAATTTGTTACCAAGTGGAC